AAAAATTCTGCAAAATTCAAATCCCGAGGGGTTGGTTTTCAAAACTGTGTGGGGATTTCTAAGCTATTTTTTTCCAAACAATGGGAGGCACAGTTCCAAATCGAGTGGTCCAGGTTTCAAGCCATGAGACATTGTGTTGTGTTCTTAGGCTAAACACTACTCTAAACACTACTCTCACAGTGCCTCTCTTCATCCAGGTGTTTGGATTGGCCACTTGGCTTGTAAATAGACTTTATCTACTTTACATAGTTACTGTGGTATATGAAAGCCTTTGAGTTATGATTCTTTTCTCTTCCGTCAATGTAAGTTTCACTTATTAGTAAAGTGGAGACTGCGAAATATCTTTGGTTAAGATCTCCTGGATATAAAAAAATATGAAGATTTGGTTTGCTTTCTGCAGTAACTTTAAAAATGCTCATACGGAAGCCCCAGTTATGAGGGCCTACTTGTTGCCTACTCACAAGCTAGCAAGGTCTGTTTGATCTCATCACACCATGGGGGAAGAGAGCAAGTTACATGGAGAGACCAGACTCTGGTAAGCAGTGACAACAGACCACAAAATACCTGTGTCTGAGTTTATTAGGTATAAATTGGAAGGGTCTTTTTTGCTCTCTATCAAATGGTATTCTTTTAGAAACTTTGAAAGTCGATGCTCTTTTTTTTTCAAAAAACTGAAAAAAAATTAGCTACTCAGTGTCCCATTTAACCAACCCATCCATTTACTGATTCCCCCGCATGGTTTTTTAGGTTGTTATCTTAGGAATCTTCACACCAAGGCAATCCCCCTACAGTTTACATACCCTATTAATTTCTTCAAAGAGAGCATATTTGCATAAAAATGAAGTAGATTTTTTTACTTCCAAAGTTTTCCCAGCAATTCACTCCTTTTGGTGAACTCTGAAAAACTTGAAATGTCAACCACCAAAAGAANAAATTGACTTCAGGCAGCTAAAGAGCTAGAAAACCTTAGTACATGGTGAAATTTTTAGCTCTTTGGGTGTAATATTCAAGGAGAAATAGTCCATCAAAAACTGAAAAATTTCAGGGTGGCAAAAGCGCTAATGAGCTCATACATTCTTTGTAAAATTTTGAGTTTTTAAACCCGTGTTGCTCAAAAAGTATTCAATGCATCAGGCTCGTATTCATTGGCCGAGTTAATCGTTTCATTTTAGCTTGAACTTATCATATGTTGAATGGGGCGTGACATGTTGACATATGAATGAATGAAAGCCGGCCTTTATTTAAAGAGGGTAGCACTTAATAGCTGGAGGCTAATAAACTTGTGGCCTACACAGATTACACAACTATACACAATCAGATAGATATGTAAGCTAAAATATGTAAACATTTAAGATAAGCATGAAAATAAGACAAGATTCAATTAAGAAGATATTATTAAATAGTAAAATGATGCAAACATTGTTGTTCCTTAAAAATCTTGGCAAACATGTTCTTTTTAAAACATGCTATAGAATCTAGTTCCCTAATTTCAATAGGTATACTATTCCACAGTCTTGTAGCCGAAACAGTGAAAGAGGGTCCTCCCTCTGATTCTCTTTTGTATTTAGGACAAACAGCATTAATTAATGCCTGAGTATCTAGTGTTGCAGGAGTGCCGCTTATTATTCAAAATTAAGTGTTCATTTAGATAATTCGGCAATGGACAATATTTCTTCAAGCCAACCAATTGCACATAAGCCACACAAATAAAAATTCTACAAAATTCAAATCCTGAGGGGTTGGTTTTCAAAACTGCATGGGGATTTTTAAGCTATTTTTTTTTTCCAAAAAATGGGAGGCGCAGCTCTAAATCGAGTGGTCCAGGTTTCAAGCCCTGAGACATTGTGTTGTGTTCTTAGGCTAAACACTACTCTAAACACTACTCTCACAGTGCCTCTCTTCATCCAGGTGTTTGGATTGGCCATTTGGCTTGTAAATAAACTTTATCTACTTTACATAGTCACTGTGGTATATGAAAGCCTTTGAGTTATGATTCTTTTCTCTTCAGTCAATGTAAGTTTCACTTATTAGTAAAGTGGAGACTGTGAAATATCTTTGGTTAAGATCTCGTGGAGATAAAAAAATATGAATTTTTGGTTTGCTTTCTGTAGTAACTTTAAAAATGCTCATACTGAAGCCCCAGTTATAAGGGCCTACTTGTTGCCTACTCACAAGCTAGCAAGGTCTGTTTGATCTCAATACACCATGGGGGGAGAGAGCAAGTTACATGGAGAGACCAGACACTGGCAAGCAGTGACAACAGACCAAAAAATACCTGTGTCTGAGTTTATCAGGTATAAATTGGAAGGGTCTTTTTTGCTCTCTATCAAATGGTATCCTTTTAGAAACTTTGAAAGTCGATGCTCTTTTTTTTTTCAAAAAACTGAAAAAAAAATTAGCTACTCAGTGTCCCATTTAACCAACCCATCCATTTACTGATTCCCCCGCATGGTTTTTTAGGTTGTTATCTTAGGAATCTTCACACCAAGGCAATCCCCCTACAGTTTACATACCCTATTAACTTCTTCAAAGAGGGCATATTTGCATAAAAATGAAGTAGATTTTTTTACTTCCAAAGTTTTCCCAGCAATTCACTCCTTTTGGTGAACTCTGAAAAACTTGAAATGTCAACCACCAAAAGAAACACAGAAGAGTCCTGCAAACTCTCAGAAGACTTGCAGCAAAACCATATTTTGTAAGTAACTATCTAACAGTTACTGTGCAAGACCTTTAGCTCAATTGTGCTGAATGGCAATTTCGATTTCAACTTTTTTTTTCAATTTAAAACCTCCTTAAGCACACCAAAGCAAAATTTAATTAACTAAACCACAAGCCTTTATATGTTTCAATGAGATTCTTTTGCCATTCCATCTGTATTGAATTTACTTCTTGTGCTGACTGCCCTGCTTCTTTTTTACTTTCACTCTTCTCTTTTTACCTTTCTCCTATCACATGCTAGTTTTGAAAGCAGACAGATAGCAAAAATCTCCACATGCAACTGAAATCAGGAGATATTTACACCATTCAGATTGAAATTTTTAAGGACCAGAATGTCTTGTGGAAGGAAACCCTTCAGTATTCATTAATTTTATACTGATATATTATTATAGAGAGGTTGTACAACATCGGGTGACTAAGCTCATGGTTGAGAATAGGATTTCTTACAAAGAACGTTTGAATAAGACTGGTTTGATGTCACTTTCTTCTTGACGTATCTATTTAGACCTTTTTTTATTCAAATACCTGCATAGTTATTATGACCTCGACATCTCTAAGTATCTGAAGTTTTATGATTCTGAGTGGAACCCTATAATTTAAGGAACACTGAACTAGCTTTTAAAACTAACTATGCAAGAACAGAATTACTTAGGTTGTCCTTTTTTCCCAGAGTTGCTCATCTTTGGAACAATTTACCTCTATCTATTAGGAGAAGGGAATCACTTTCTATGTTCAAAAATGACCTAAGACTTTACTGTTTTGCTATTGATAGCAGTGATTTAATGTAATTGTTACTTAATTTTAGTTAGTACTAAGTTTTAACATGTAGCATTTTACTATACTTGTTTTATGTATTTCATATATTCATTATAGTTCTGTATTCATGTTTTTTATGTTTTACGTATTTCATATATTCATATATTTATTTTCTGTAAATTTATTAAAGTTTAAAGTTTTTTTTAAATTTCAATATTTCACCTATTTTTTTTTTGGAAACTATATTTAAAATAATGCCTAGTTAACATGAATAAGAAAAATTTCAAAATAATAGGCCCTCCAAGGTCTACCTTAGGCTTAAGAAGTCTCCACAAATCTAGACTTTGTTTAAACCCTCTAATTCCCCAGATCCAATAATAAAATTCTAAAATACGAGAAAATCAGACAAACTAAGGGTGGATCCTACAGCACACATTAACAGTGGAGTTATGAAAATAATTAATTTGGTGGATAGTTTTGCCTTGTCAGTTCATAAGTTAAATATACAAAAGAATAATTCATTAGCAAAATATCAGCGAGGCTAGGTTGGGGGAAGCCAACAGGACCACAATGCAAGAGACACCTCCCATGTACCACCATTTATCCCAGGCCCTGTTTTGATAATCAAAAGGCAGTCTTAGTGAAATATGTATTTACAAATGTAGTTTTCCTCGCAATTGAAACAAATGGCTATTATGTCTATATTTTTTTTCGGTTTAACATGCGTAAATTATACTACCTTTTCTGTAAAAGTCACTAGACTGAGCGTGACTGAACCCACAAGAAACCTGTACACCACTGTAAACGGAGATGTGTCTCCATATTAAAAATTAACTGTACATTTATTTCTTACCTCTTGAAGAGATGATTTTTTCTGGGACATTATCGGACCAGTAAAGAGATCGGCAATCTCGGTGAGGTCCAGCACATAGTCCCCTATAGCAACACCCACACGATGCCGTGGCTGAAAAAAAGATAATAATCATTAGATGAAACCTGACATGAAAGTGCGCGGCCACGGAAGAAACATATTTCGATCTATACTCCCTCACATCATCTGACGTGGAAAATATTCCATAAGGAATATTCTGAATGGGAAAATGGTTGTCATGAGAAACTTGAACGAAGGACATATCAGCTTATCTATATGATTCAGGCAAACCACGTTACGAAAATTCTCAAGAGAATTACACAAGAGGGTGAACTGGGCTCCACATTAGCTCTCAGTCTTTTGCTCTCCGATCCTAACTGCAGAAGTTTGTATAAGAAATAAAAGCTCGTGAGTAAAACCTAAGGACGACACGTAATCAGTTCATAACCCTTTAATAGCCCTTAGATGATTCTGAAATTAGACGAATAAACATCTGTTCCATTAGATGTTTTTCTTAGGACGCGCCTGTCTCTGCTTTGCATCAAGAATCTTGTTACGTCACTTCCTTTCGTCTTTTCATGAATAAGATCACGTGATCACTGTCTGTTTTCACCGTCTGACTGCTGAATGTCGTATGCAGAAAGAGACACGTAAAATGGAAAAAATCGCCTTGCTATCCACTTGTCTTTTTATTTTAACAGTCCTGGGAAATGGTAAGTGAAACTAGAGCCCTTGATTTTGTTCCTTCACTAGGGTTTACCGTTTGCATTTACCTTAATTTGCAAAACGGAAAAGGAGACGAGACTGTCTGAGAAAGTAAAGCAACAGGAATTATCTCTCGTCTATGATATTCAAATGTTAAAGTTATCGGGCCAAATGTTATAGATTTTTCGTACAACATTGTTTATCTTCACTAGGTTTATGTAGCATTTGCTGTTTTTCTAGGAAAACGTTAACGCGTGGCGCAGCTTTAATAACATCGCTTACGCACAAGCAATGATACATATAGTTCACATTGATGGACAGACGAATCGAACGAATATTAGCTGGGAAAAACTGAGATTTTACTTGTGGAGGAAGGAAATTAAGTCTACCTTTCTCTGTGGACTGCGAAAGATACAGAAAGTAGCTTGATATTTTGAAACGCGCATTTTACTGATTACGAATATTCCTTTAACCATAGCGCAGGAAACGGCGACGGGTAACGACTGAATATTTCAAAAGCTTAAAATTGTCTGGTTAATCTGCGCCGCGCGCCCTAGGTCCTTCTAGTCGTTAACTTGGGCAGTTACGATTCCGGAAATTTTCAACTTTCATAAAATCATTTTGTGTCAGTGTCTGTAAACAAATATCTTGCGATTTGACGACATGTAATGTCATATGCTGTTGTAATAAAGTTGAAACCCAAATTGCCTCAAACCTTATTTCCTTTCGATGTCATCATGAAAGTGTTAATCAAGGTGATCATCTTGTCACAGCAGGAAATTGTACTGTAGTATTAGTGAGGCTATTCTCTGGTGCTCTGTTATTAAGCAAATAAGCAATTGAAATACTGCTTACCTTCAAGGAAGCCTACACATTGAAGAGCTTAATATGTTAATGGCACACAGCACTGAAGTTTCTTGGGTTGTACATGCGTGTACTTCAAAATTCAACCATAAAACATATATTTAACATACTGCTGTCAGAGGATCAATGCCTCTGAAATTAAAGGAAATTTATGTAGTGCAGTAGCCAAACTACAATCTACTGTGTACAATTCTGCAGTTTTTTGCTCCAGTTTTCTTCTCATTTTACCCTTGGTGTGTACGATAGCCTTAAGATGGTCAGCCTTTCCATTTCTACGTAAGCTCAGGTTTATATGCTAATTCGACAAACATATGTAGAACGCAACAGTAACAGATTGTGTTTGTATCTTCTTTCTAGCTGGAAGGACAGCTATTACTTGCCATTGTACGCACTGTGACAACAGCACCTGCAGTACTAAGGGGGCATGCATGGTGATTGCTACTCGATTTTTGGATGGAGTGATTAAGCACTATAAAGCATGCAGTCCTGACCATCCACCTTTTCTATGTCCTATGGAAGGTTATACAGTTAGTCCAGATGAGAATGTATACTGCTGTATGACAAATATGTGCAACTCTGTAGCAATAACTCTGCCAACAATAACACCTTCTACAGGTTACACACAGGAAGGTAATTTTCCAGGCTAATTTATTTAATGTATATTTATATTAGAGATCAAACTTTTGTGGTGATACTCCTATTAATATTACAATTATCATCTCATTCTGTGCCTAATATTATACATGGAAATGGAAAAAAACATTCACATACTCAGTCAACCAAAAACAAGAATTGGTTTTGAAGCCTCTTTGAAAGGCATGAATAGACTGTTTATCCCTGACAGTAGGGTGGCTTATCATCTTCTACAAATAATTGCATTCTTTCAGTCTTCCTAACTGTGTTGTAGAAAATTGGAAAGCGATTTTAGGAAAAACATTCCTTAGTCATATGTGGTGGACACTAATGTATCTCCAACATGAGGAATTTTCTAGACCATATTGTTAAGTGGTGATAATCTGTGCCATGATTCTCTGTTCTTTTAAACAAAATGTTCTGATTAAAAATTTACTGTTTGGTCCATTTTTTACTATTATCTCTTTTGTTATGTATGTCTTGCTTCTAAGCAATTGTTCTGTTCCTGTAAAATATACATGTATGCTGAACTGATGGAGTAAACAAGCCCCTAGTTGGTGCAGTTGGTAGGATTAACTGTGTAACTTGCCTGTACACATTTTGTGTTAACTCTCTTACTGAGAAATCACCTTACAGCACTTTTTGCAGATGAAGTTCAATGGTTTGAAAACATCGCTTGATACTTTTGTTTATTTATGATATCTACACTATTTACACAAATTCTTTTAGACTCTGATGACCAGAGGGGCAGTAAGCTGAGCACAGTGGGGGTGGCAGCAGCAATTGCTGGCCCGATGTGTGCGATTTGTGCTCTAATCATGCTGTTCATTTGCTGGCACCAAAGAAGACAAGTGAAGAAACAGGGAGAGTTTCATGGAGCAGAAGCAGCACTTCAGCCAGTGGAAGATGAAGCTTTGATTCCCCCTGGACAAACCTTGAAGGAGTTAATGGATATGTCCACAGGTATAATATTACACAATCCACTCAGTAATTCACAGCTTCTTAAAGTTTAGTTTTGCATCAAATTGGTAAGTACTTTGTTATTTAAGAATATAGCTTGTGCTCTTTTGACAATAATCATTTATAAAATCAAATGATGAGGAAAAGAAAAAGAAAGTAGCAACAATTTACATTAATGACAATTAAAAATAACGATGATGTTTTACCACCTTCTACAATTTATGAATACAGACCCAAAGTTTTGCCTTTTTGATAATTCAAACAGGACTGTAATTCAAGGGTTTGGTGCATCCAAAGTTGATGAAAAATTATCATATGATAATCTTGCTTTAAAACTGGTCAGAGTGCTTAAGTTAATGATTAAATCATGCATTGATGAAGGAATAGAAAGGATAAAAGGGTTTTTAGAGAAATTAGAAGTATTTACCACTGAATTGTACAAGTCATTGAATCCTTTTCTAACAGTAGGAGTGAACTAGTTTGAAGTCTTGAGAAACTAAAAAAATAATATATTATCTTTTTGGGTTAATTTTGCAGGAAGTGGATCTGGATTACCTTTATTAGTTCAACGTACCATTGCAAGACAAATTCATTTGGTGGGACTCATTGGTAAAGGTCGTTTTGGGGAGGTCTACAGAGGGGTGTGGAGAGGACAGAGTGTTGCAGTTAAAATCTTTTCATCTAGGGATGAATGCTCATGGTTTCGTGAAGCAGAGATCTATCAGACGACTATGTTACGACATGAAAACCTTTTAGGTACAGTTTAGCTGGACATCTATATTTGTATATACATTCATAAACATTTCAAAGGAGACTTGTCAGATACTGTGAGGCCTTGTTCCTAAGCAAGAACCACTAACAAATTTGTGTTCAAGTTTTAAAGCATTTTTGGTGATGAGGTCTTGTGATCTGACTGCAAGGTTAATGTCACTTTCAGTCTTAAGGTGGCTTAACGCAGTTTTTGACATCTTTG